TATTGCTTATGTTTCACGGAATTCTGCTTGGTCCAACTTTGGAGGGATGGTCCAAAGTACTTCATATTCCCTGTAAGGTCCCAAGAAAGAAAATAGCTACCAGGTTGTGCTTGTTGAAAAGAGACGAGTTTTAACGTCCCCTCTCTGTTTAATGGGTTGGGAAACTAACTGATTCTGCATTCGGTACTTAGCCTTCTCTGTTTTGCTAATGTCGTTGATCAATCCAACTAGTTCCACGTCTCTCTGAGTCTCACAATATTAATGGAATCTGTTAACGAATCCGTCACCAATACACTTGTCTGGAGAAAGTTTGGTGATCTGAATTTTTAGTGATTAAAGTGACGCAGCTGTTGCCCCATTAACTAATGAAGAATACATGTTTACTATTTTCCAATATAACAGTGGTAATATTCTGTAAAGGAAATTCATCAAGATAGACAATTAAAAGAACAGACAAGACACAACTATGGACCGACTGTGAACTAATGGTTGTCCAGGAGAATCCGGAGGCTAGCTTTAAATTTGAGCCTTTCTGAAAGGGTGAACAACATTTTCCCACCCAAGGTTTGGCAAAACGACACTTTCCCACCCATCAAGTCTCAAAATGACACTTTCCCACCATTCATTAGGTTCTATTACGGTTTCCGTTAATATTTTACTGAAAAGACGAAAATGCCCTTAAATATTTTACTTTATAAATTTTTTATTATTTTTTAATTAGCCAAAAAGTCAAATATTAAAAATTCAAAAAAGAAAAAATAGTTAACCTCGCTTAAAAAGTTAGGATTAATGCTATAAAATTGTTTAAAGTTAAATAATCTTAATATTTATTTATAATGTCATCAATATCACATCACTATTATTTATAATGTTTTTCATTTTTACTAATTAACATAAAAAAATCAATATTCCTAATTAATTAAATAAACAAAGAAAAAATGTATCTTTATACCATTGTTTTAAAACCCGGCCCGGCCCGGCCAGTTCAACTGGGACTTGGAAGCTTCAACAGGCTGAGTTTATACTTTTCCCATTCACCCAAAAACCTAGGATTTGGGGGGATGATCGGTGAACAATTGACGGCCGGAATCTTGGGGCTTTTGAAGATGAAGTGCCGGTGAATGCAATGGTGGTGACGGCGTTAATTTCTAATGAGTAAATTGACCGGAAATCGAACAAATCTGGCAGCGGCAACAATGAGATTTTTCCGGCGATTGGCGAGGCTAACGGGAACGGGGTGAGAGGGGGTTTTGGTCGGGAGGAAGAGGGGAGTAATTCCTGGGTCATGGGGAGGGTTGTCGACACCGACGTCGGTGAGATCTGGCCGAAATCAAACCTATTTCGACCAGATCTTAGGTAGATTTTAATGGATATGGGCTTAAGGGATGATTGAGGTTGCATCTAGGGTGTCTCCACTGCCAATCAGTCGCCGATCGATTTGCATTTGGGGTGTGTTTGATAAATTTCAAACATATAGGGACTTGCCGGTAATTTTTAGGGGTGTATTTGCTGAATGTTTAATTTTTTTTGTCAACGGGTCAACCCGGGACCCGGAAACTTTGCCGGGTTTCACCTAGGGTTGGGTTTTAAAACATTTCATTATATTTGGACTAGTAGATAATCAAATAAAGACTTTGAATTAACTAAATTCTAATTTATAATAAACTAATTAAAAAATAAACTATTTAAGGGTATTTTAGTCTTTTCAGTTAAATATTAACATAAAACACTAACAGAACCTAACGAAGGGTGGGAAAGTGTCTTTTTGAAACTTGATGGGTGAGAAAGTGTCGTTTCATCAAACCTTGGGTGGGAAAATGTCGTTCTCCCTTTCTAAAAAGACCCGAAGAGTAACATGCAGGGCTGTAACATTGATGTTTACTCAGGTGCACCATAATTTAACGATGGGACAAGTCACAGTCAAGTAAGAGCATCTTCAATGATGTTCTTTATTTTAAAGAGCATTTTTCATATAAATAAAGAACATCTTCATTGATATCTAAATATAAAGGACAAATTTTTTATTCAAATCCAATGTTAAATTTTAGGAGAGAGAATATGTTTTTTTAAGAAAAAAAACTTTATAAGAGAGATAAATCATGAATAAAATGCATAGAAACTTATAATTTATTATTTAAAATTAAGATAAAAAATGAAATTTGACTCTCTAAATGTGGAGAGTCAAACTCACTATTTAATTTATATTTAAAGAATAAAAAGTCTATTGGACTATTATTTCTATGAATAAATTCTTTATAATAAAAAGTTTGAATCATATAAAAAGTCATTTACAGATGCTCTAAACATGTGCAATTGGCCTTTCGCTTAGTCTCAGGCCGGTTTTGGAATACAGATTGAATGTGGTGCTTTAATGGAGGCTTTTTCTCTTCTGCAGCTACGTGGCTCAATCTAGTTCTAGAAATTTATATGTTAGCAATGGCATATATGCTGTTCATATGTCAATGCATGATTTTGATGCTATCACCACACTAAATTACAAAAAAATATGCGATCGTACCAATGTATCCAATGGGTGACGGATGGCTAGTTGTGGACCAAAAGCAAAAAATGGTTGGCTGGTTTTGAGTAAAGATGTATATTACAATACAAAGATGTATATTACAATACCCAATTCCTAAGAATTAATACAATTGTATTGTATTATTGCTTCATTTCCTTTCTTCTAGAGAAAGAGAATTTTTATTTTGACTACCCAGAAATCCTACACAGATTCCCCAGATTGACTAATGTATTTATGAGTTGAAAATGTTGACATCACGTTGATGATCTGGCGCCTCAGTCAATCAGAAAACCCAAGTTTTGATCCACTCTTAAATTTCCATGGAGGTCGATATTTAAAGAAAAACCACCGAAAGCTACTATGAACAATAGTGTGATAACACTGGCATCTTGACTAATGACTAGATAGGAAACTTCTTTTAACTGTTTTTTTTATTTTTTCCTTATCTTCGATAATCTAATCTAGGTCTTTATTTATTTATTTTTGTCCTAAAAGGTTTCCAGTAGAGATCTTAATCTTACTTTTTGTTTAGTTGTCAAATACTACCATTGTCTTTTTTTTTTTTTTTTTAAATGCGAAGTTTTTTGAATCTGTTGTGTATCACTCTAATAATCTTTAAAGTTCTTTGATCCCCTATAAACTCAAAAGACTAGGAAACCGTAAGTGTTATGTATAAATAGTTCCAAGATTTGAACCAAATCTCAAAAAAAGCAAACTTCTTAATACCAGACCACCCTCTATAAATATGTACTTGCCTTGGTGTCCCTTAAAAGCTAATTAATTTAAAGATAACATAGTGTATCTTAAGTTTTCCATAAAAAAACGTTTTTTGCACATGGTGTTATCTGCTCTCGAAGAACTAATTATTAATCATAGAATTTTATTAATAACAATATCTATGGCATTTTTTCTTTTCAAGTCGGGAAAGCGTGCGGATCCAAAAAGCAGATAAAACGATTGGCTTTCTCTAATTATGCAGCATTTCACTGGAATTATTGATCTTAATTTACTATTAGGGGCAAATTTGCCTATAATATATTAAGCATCTTTTCCTCCAATAATTCTTTCGTTCTTCACTATTCCTTTTTTGGTTTTTTCCCTTTTCAGCTTTCGGTTTCTCTTTTGAACTTCTACGAATCTTTATGGAAAAAAAAAAAAAAGAATTGCTCACTATTGGATAACTCCACTTATTTTTCCACCTCAGCAATGCTTTACGTAGATATTGCAGATATTCGATAATGTTAAAACCAGTCAGATGAAATAAAGAAATAATAATAAAGAGAAATTTTAATGACCAAATACCCGTCGGTTATGGACCTCGGCGCCATATTGACCCAGAAGGAAGGCTAATTTTCAGAGAAGCCCTTGTCAGTATAGGTATGTAAATATATTTATCAGTAAGCCATGTTAAAAAATTTAGTCATTTGAGAATGAGTTCGCATCATCAGATTCTGCACTTGATTTGCTACTTTCTGTGCTCCATAGAGATAGATGGCAGTAGTATATTGACGATATTGACGTCGCCAAAATATTGATTGCATTCAAGTAGAGTTTATACGTGATATCCAACTTTTGTCCAATCTACTAAATGACTAACAACTACTCTTTATCATATCATTATTAAATTGGTGATTTGGGAACTAATGATTTCTTTTTTTTTTTTAACCATTTTATTCTTCCTTTTCAGTTTATTTATTTATTTCCCTGAGTAGATGTAATGCAGTACACTTTGGCTGTATAAATAGACCTAGTTGGCTCAAGTTTCTCTCAGAGCGAAGCCTGAAGTACTCTCTCCCTTCACAAGTTTCACATAAAACTTTGATTTGTAGTTTCTCTCAACTACTGATATCGGAGCCATGGATAATATCAATGGTTTGATAGCAGAAAGGCCAGTGGTGATTTTCAGCAGGAGCAGTTGTTCCATGTGCCACGCCATTAAGACGCTCATAAGTAGCTTTGGAGCAAATGCTACTGTTTATGAGCTGGATGAAATTGCAAATGGACGGCAAATTGAGAGGGAGTTGGCGCAGTTAGGTTGTCAGCCGAGTGTACCAGCAGTGTTCATAGGGCAACAGCTTGTTGGCGGTGCTAGACAGGTGATGAGCCTCCAGGTTCAAAACCAGCTAGGCCAGTTGCTCAGAAGGGCTGGAGCTATCTGGGTTTGAAATAAAACGAAGTATTTTACTTCCACACTCAACTCTGACTCTATACAAGTAGGCTAAACGAGCTCTAATAAGATAGCTTCTAATTACTTATAATTAGTGATAACGTGACTACGTTAGCTACTCGGAGAGCTTATTAATTACCTAATTGTGTACTTTTTCTTGTATTTTCTGGGTGCTTAAGTCAGGGGGAACTTGTTTTATCTTCCACATATAAGAACATATACAGTTCATGCTAAATAAAGGTTGTTAAACTTGCTATATATGTATTACGTGCTGCAGTTTGATGGCTGAAACCTGAATTTGATTATGAATCTTGCCCATGGTTTTAGTCGTACAATCCTACACTACATTGAATACGTATCCTATGCTATATTCAATACGTATATACATGCATGGGAATGCATTTATGAAAGTAAAATTCATGGAAAGTTCCTTCTTGGGAAGAAGAGAGTTGATCGGTATCGGTACTGTCAGAACCAATGCAGAGCTCAAATCAATTATGATGCTTGCATTATCTGCGTGATTACTTTTATCTGCTCAAAAAATTATATCTACTTATAATTCGAAGTACTCAAGGATATGAGATATGACCAAAGCTACTCTTAACTTTTCCGGCCAAACAATACGACGAAAGGAAGTTTAGTTAATGCCCTTGATTATGATGGCAATTAGTCTTGTCAGCCGGTATCGATCGATCGCAGTGCAATTTTATTGCCATTTACATTACCTGCATGCTAAGGTAAAATTTGTATTCTAATTGATCTTGCTTCCAGAAGGAATATTATAATTTACCTTTAAATTTGGTAACAAAATTAACAAATTTACAGAATAAATTAAAACACGTGTTACATGCACTAATGTTTACACAAATTAAACAAGAAAAAAGTATAAATTGCAATAGGAAAACCACGTGATCTAGTAGTAAAGTTGGGGAACAAACAGCTCATCTAGAAGATGCCACTGCCAGCATCCCATCGGGGAATTTTCTGACACTGAAACTTATCTTGTCTTGTAACATAATTGATCTTTGTTGAAGATTAAAAGAATAATTAGAATCCTGTTATTGGTATTTGTATGTGTTGATGCTTGATTTTGACATCAACAATTCGCACATGTAAAGTGTTATGCGAACTTAGAAATTACACGTGATATAGAAATGTACAACGAGAGAATAAACAAGAGACAATTTTTAAAGTGGTTCAGATGTAAAAAGCGAATCATACGTCTATTGTATTTGTATTGATGGATGATTACAGTCAGGTCGCAGGTAGCGAGTTGAGTTAGAATTTAGAGAGAGAATTTAAATACAGAGAGAGAGTCTACTCTTGGAAGATTAAAAATGAACCGATCCCGAAAATAAAAGAGGAACTCTCTATTTATAGTCGAGAGATTAAAGGCAATAATCATAATTCTGTAGTCAGGCAGGTGTGATAAAATTCCTAACTTGCTTCCCATTGGCTGACTGTACAGGAGATATCCTTAAATCGCATATGGTTTGAGCAGGCCGTGGACAATTTCTAGCCACTCATAAGCCAGGCTTTCACCTGCCACACTGACGACAACCTTACCTCTTCCTTCCTTGCGACACATGGCAGCGTCTGGATGGCACAAAGCCTTCTTGAGCTCTAATTTGCCCTTGCTGGCATAAGCTTACATCAGCCCTGAATTTTTAGGCTTAACAGAAGCCCCCTAGTTTTTAAGGTTTAAGGATTAAACCTTGAAAGCTTCATGATTATGCCATGACCTGACTTATCCCGAGTGACGTCTGATCGAGTTGTATGAGACAAGTAGTTAAGATAATGTGAAACTAATGGTTCAACCCGACCAGTGAGCTGTAAGGAGGTCGCAACATAGGTCTCTAAGAATAGTACAAGCGACCTAAGGTGGCCTTCTCCCACAGGTTCAGCAACTTGGGTTAGACCCTGCTTAATGCTATACCAACATGCTTTGAACTTCATCTGTCGCTCGCGACCTGAAAATACTTAGCATATTTTTGCCGAAAATAAGGGATCACATCGTCTCGAAATCGATACATGGAGAAGAGTGTTTTACTCGAACGACCTCTTCAAATGTTATTTGTTGCGCTTGAGAGCTGGTCTGGCCAATAAAATAAACTTTATTCTGACAGAAGTGTATCTTGCATAATAAGTGCCAACCATGTGCGTTAAATGTAAGTCATGCTGAAACGACATTTCTTTTCAGAGCATTAAATGCGGATGAGGGCGCAATTAATGTGAAGGAGGTAACCGCACCGACGCTTGGTTACTCCAATGGAGGGAAACGTCGATTGACATCCACAAAGTGTGAAGGTTACTCTTCACGTGGATTAACTACACACGGTCATAATCAATGGTGAGAAACGTATCCCGCCAAGCATTGCTTGCTAGGGAAACCAATCGTCGTCTTTCCCCCTATAAAACCCCATGTTCGCCTCAAGTTTTATCACATAACTCACATTTTCAGAGAGAAAAACAAAACTCTTGCACTTTCGAAATCAGTCTGTTCTCCTTCCAGTTGATGCGTATTCTTCGTTACTACAGGAAGTTCGTCCCCAGCTGTCAAGAGGTAAGGAGGACTTCTCCTTCATTTTCCTTTTTTATTTCTGTTAAAAGCTTGACTTTACAGTAATGGTGAGTATGAACTACCTGGTAAGCTTACACGATGCATGTTTCTGGACAGTGGTAAAAAGAGAACTTTTTCCTTTGTAAAAAGTGAGAACTTGGGGCACGAATTCTTGGGAATTCATTCTCAAGGGTTTTTCTAAAGGTTAAGGAAGGTAAATTAGGGTTTTTTTTTGCTCTTCCACGTCATCACATGGGACACTATACGGAGATTGAGTCATCTCTGCATGTTGCCTTTTTTTTCAGACTTTAGGAGCAATGGACAATTCAACAACCAGAGCAGCCGAAGGGACGACCTCGCAGGTGCCGGGCACCTTAGCAGGTCTCGTGCAAGAGACATTATCAATGGTCACCCGGGACGAGATATAGAAAGCAGTGGACCAGTTCGCGCTTAGCGTAGATGTCTACCAGCATAGGATGTACACAGCTCAGAATCCCCCAAAGGGAATAGTCACGATCTCTGAAGCGATTTTTAAGTGTAGGGCGTTGATACCTTTTCATCCCTTCATCAGGTCGATCCTCAACCACTTTAAGGTCGCACCATTACAATTGACGCCTAATGTCTATATGATAGCAATTGCTATGTATATCGCATATGGTGAAAATGGTCTTGGCGAGCTGACAGCGCTGGAGCTCGCATGCGCTTACTATTTGAAAAAGAGTAAAGATAAAGACTCTTATTACCTCTCGAAGTAATCTTCGATCGAGGGAGGAATATTTGGCTACCCTAGTAATGTCAAGACTTATGAGACCAAATTTTTCTTTTTTGCATACGATGGTGTTTGTCAATTTAGGGAGCTGAGTAGGTTTTCCTTTCCTTTGATTTGCGAACTATCCATTTTTCTTCAACTCCTCTTCTATAGGTGAAATTAACGAACTTTTTGTCTCTTTGCAGAAAATAAGACGACTAGGTTGACGGCTATGGAAGACTTTAACTGAATTGTGATGTTCAGTCATCTACCCAAGCAGAGTCACGATGCAAGACTACTGCTAACTTGCGAAAGTACGATTTTGTCAACCTGGAAGCATCTTTGGAACCCTAAGCATCTTTGGAGCTTATGTCAGCCCTGATTTTTTAGGCATAACAATATGTATCACGAGTAATGTTGAAATAGTTGAAATGTACCTCAAGTTAACTGCATATATATCTTGTTTATGGAGAGTTACATGATTTTCTCATCTGTTTTTGAGTAAACAAATTAAGTAGCTTGGTCAACTTTCTCTATGGAGAAAAGGAGATAAATATTAATATGTGAGGAACCGACTTTGCATTCTGCCATTTTTTTAATTTTTATTTTTTACTTCTAGTTCTAGATGTGTCCATCGAAGTTGACATTCCTTCAAAAGATTGTTTGCGAGCTGCCGTACGCATATTCTCCTTATCATCGTTCAATCCATCAGGCATATCAATACACTATGTTATTAGTAATTAAATGTCACGTTTAAGTGTCATAAATAGTATTAAGTGATTCATCAAGAAGAAAGATACAGATACAAATGACTCCATCGAACAAAAAACCTTTAATCAAGTGACCCTAGCCAGGTATATAACTGACCCTTGGCTCTATCGTGAGCCAGTTACGCAACCTGATTCCTCATATTCATTTATGTTTTTATAATGAGCTAGCTTTTCTGGGGTTTGAGAAACGTGGCAATGTCTGGTACCTAAGATTTTAAATATTAAATGCCCCTTCTTTTTATTTTTACACTTATTAATTTGACGTTTCTTCCTAAACACGAANATAGGAAAACCACGTGATCTAGTAGTAAAGTTGGAGAACAAACAGCTCATCTAGAAGATGCCACTGCCAGCATCCCATCAGGGAATTTTCTGACACTGAAACTTATCTTGTCTTGTAACATAATTGATCTTTGTTGAAGATTAAAAGAATAATCAGAATCCTGTTATTGGTATTTGTATGTGTTGATGCTTGATTTTGACACCAACAACTCGCACGTGTAAAGTGTTAAGCGAATTTAGAAATTACACGTGATATAGAAATGTGCAACGAGAGAATAAACAAAAGACAATTTTTAAAGTGTTTCAGATGCTAAAAAGCGAATCATACGTCTATTGTATTTGTATTGATGAATAATTACAGTCAGGTCACGGATAGCGAGTTGAGTTAGAATTTAGATAGAGAATTTAAATACAGAGAAAGAGTCTGCTCTTGGAAGATTAAAAATGAACTGATCCCGTAAATGAACGAGGAACTCTCTATTTATAGTCGAGAGATTCAAGGTAATAATCATGATTCTGCAGTCGGGCAGATGTGGTACAATTTCTAACCTGCTTCCCATTGGCTGACCGTACAGGAGATATCCTTAAATCGCGTAGGGCTTGGGCAGGTGGACAATTCCTAGCCACTCATAACCCAGGCTTTCACCTGCCACACTGACGACAACCTTACCTCTTCCGTCCTTACGCGACATGGCAGCTTCTGGATGGCACAAAGCCTTCTTGAACTCTAATTTGCCCTTGTTAGCATGAGCTTACGTCAGCCCTGATTTTTTAGGCTTAACAGAAGCCCCCTAGTTTTTAAGGTTTAAGGATTGAACCTTGAGAACTTCATGATTATGCCATGAGTTGACTTATCCCGAGTGACGTCTGATCGAGTTGTATGAGACAAGTAGTTAAGATAATGTGAAACTAATGGTTCAACCCGACCAGTGAGCTGTAAGGAGGTCGCAACATAGGTCTCTAAGAATAGTACAAGCGACCTAAGGTGGCCTTCTCCCACAGGTTCAGCAACCTGGGTTAGACCCCACTTAATGTTATACCAACATGCTTTGAACTTCATCTGTCGCTCGCGACCTGAAAATACTTAGCACATTTTTGCTGAAAACAAGGGATCACATCGTCTCGAAATCAATACATGGAGAAGAGTGTTTTACTCGAACGACCTCTTCAAATGTTATTCGTTGCGCTTGACAGTTGGTTTGGCCAATAAAATAAACTTTATTCTGACAGAAGTGTATTTTGCATAATAAGTGCCAGCCATGCGCATTAAATGTAAGTCATGCTGAAATGACATTCCCTTTCAGAGCATTAAATGCGGATGAGGGTGCAATTAATGTGGAGGAGATAACCGCACCGACACTTGGTTACTCCAATGGAGGGAAACGTCGATT